CACGAAGTAAGGAAGTGGACCATCGAGGACAAAGTGACTGCAGAGTGCCAATATGACCGCTGCGAAGTGCAGTCAGCGGTGCTGACTTGGAAGAAGTTGACATTAACTTTTATCTAGAAGTAAACATAAGCAACAATTTCCTGTCGAAAACTGTACACTGAACGGCTGCCAGTTGCTACAGATTTCAAAATGTTTTCGATGTTCATAAAGTATCACTGACGCATATGTGGTAAATGTGATCAGTTTGATGAAAACAGAAGGGGGAAAGCTGCCTGCCAGCGGTGGAGTGAGCGATGTTTGGTGCGTGGAGTGGTTTTAATTCTTGACTTTTTGAAGTAGAATTGAGCATTTTCCAGTCAAGGCTTTGAACTTCCGCTTAACTTTTTGTATTTCGTTTTTTTTTTTTTACAATTTTTACGCGAAAACAGATTTACACATAACTTTTCTGAGTCATACTGAAGTAGCAACGTCTCTCTCTCTCCCCGTCCACTTCACTCCTCTGATAGGCCCGTACTTAGTAAAAGAGACAGCGGATGATCCCGGCAGGCGTAGCAGCCCCTCACCTGTCTAACATCGCTGTACTAAGCACCTCTTTTGTGCATGAATTCAGGATTGATTTCTATTTTTTTTTTCTTCTGCTGCCACTTTGTGCTTCCGTTTTTACGCATGCCGTTGTTCCTCTTGTCTCATAATTCCCCTACAACGTAAAGTATTTCACACTCCATTTTCGCAGCTTCAATCGTATTAGTGAAATGTCAAAAATCAAAGTCAAAGCCCTTTCCGTTTCACTCTCTATGGCAGGGCTGTTAATGGCCCTTCTCTTTCAAGGGTTGCTTAGAATTAAACTGATAGCTGTTTTGAACGTCAGGCGTTCACTAGTACCAATTTACCATCGAAACGAATGAACAAATCGTAAGGGAAGTGCTTCTACCACTAGTGGAGTCAGACCTATGTCTTGCACGGTGCGAATTGTAAATGCTTGTAATGCGCTGATTTTGAATTTTAGTACTGTTGAGCTTGCCAAATGACCTTTCCATGTGATTTCAAGTTTAAATGCACAGATCGGTCTTCCGACTGATTTGATGTATTTTGGGGAAATGTTTCTCAAAATTTCTTTCTGCGCATAAACCCAGCTCCCCACCTCACATTTGCTCGAAATGCCTCGCTTTCATCTTGAAATGCTCCCTCATAACTAGCTTAGGTACGTGGGATCACCAAATTGTTGGATTCTGTTTTGCTAATAGCTATCACTCACTAACTTAAATTGTACCTCAGTTATCAGCAAAAGAAGTGAAGTACCTTTTCTACAATCTCATTTTCGCCTGTGGCTATCGTGCCGGTCTTTTGTTATGGCCACGTTTTATTTTGGGTTAACAACGGCTTTCCCAAATAACTTCTGCTTCGGTGACTCTTTTTTATATTAGACAATATCCTTTCCTCTCTTCGCTTGTCACATCTGACACTTATGTTTCGCTAATTGGATCACGAATTTGTTCAAAAAATTGTTATAAATCACCTTATTATCTACTATTCTGCTGGCATCAACAGTACCACAATTGTTTTGTTTGAGGCAACAGCGCTGAATGTAGAACTCTGAAATGAGGATTGCTGTTTACAGCGGGGACGCTGCAGGAAGACGAAGTTCTTTTCCTGGCGAGATTACTATATATCTTTAATTTTTTTTTCGAAAATGAATCACATTTCAGTTTTTTTTCTTCATGTTTCACAACCTTAATAACTTTCATCACTAAAAAGTGGAAAATCCTGAACATATTCCTTTTATGGACCCCGAAAAGCTGTCTCTTTCAAGAAATGTTGTATCTATCTCTGTCGAAAAATATTTGGCTGCGTCAGTAGTGGTTCATATTTTGTGGCCCACATACCACGTCGAGTTCTTTCGAATCTACATCCTCCAGCGATAAACTGGCTGTGCACATAATGGCTTTTGTATCTGAAGTGTCAAATTTCAGGATCATTTCTTTATTTTGTGCATTCATATCCAGCAACACTTAATTCATTTTAGATGTTACTTATACGAAAGTCACTGGGGAGAGAAGGCAAGGAAGGGGGTTGTTTGTCAATAATTTTCTCCCCAGATTTTCTCCTCTGATAGGCCGAGTATTAACTTTTGCAATACGTCGAGCACTAATTCGAATACTAATTCGACGTTCTGCACAAGTCGTTCTAATTTGACGTTAAACGAACAACCCAGTTTTTAAGAAGTTTGATACCATGAGTTTGAAAGTTGGTATTAAAACAGAGCAAGTGATTCCAGTTAATAAATCGATACGCAATATCAAAGTTATTATTGGAAATGCTAAATAAATGTTGTTTCAGTCAACCAGATCAATTCGCTGCTTCTTGAAAACTGCATGTATTGGCGGTGCACTGTGGTGAAATTGTCTTGCAGTGATTCTTGAGCGATGTATTCCCAGTGATGTGAAACCGGTGCTTTTTTCCTTAGTATGAAATGAGTTCGGATTTATGCAAAAAAAGTTATGGTATTCTCACCATTCTACAGTTGGTAAGTAATTCGAAAAAAACTCCACAAAATGAATCTTTTTGCCAAGTTTTGAAGAAAAATTGCAACGAATGAGTGATTTTCAAAGTAGCTGCATAGAGGGATTGGTCTAAGTGTCTTGTGCAAGAAGACATGTTAGGAAGCAGTCTGTGTTTCGTCCCTAGAGCAGGAATCATCAACTCAATCTCCTACCAGTCATGTACCAAATAGTCATGTGACTAATTTGGAAGACGAATATGCGAAAGAAAGAGAAAACAGGGAAGGAACAGGGGGAATGAGCGAAAAGAGAAAATAGAAAAAGTTAACCCATCGTAGGGACAATTGCAGCTGATCAAAATAATTAAATATTTAAACTCAGAAAAAAGTGGTGGAAGACAGAACTATAGGGGAATTTCAAAACACAAGTATTCAAAACCTATCTAAGTAACCTTGATAGCGCGCGTTTTTGGGGCAAACACGAGCTGTCCTGTAAGTGTTACATTTATATAATTCGTACGTTACTCATATATCTGGACATAAATAAGGCTTTTCTGTTACGTCTTCTGGATGCCATCCCACGTATTAGGCCCAATGTACGCAGCCTGCGCTTGTTTCTGCATGCGTATGTGGTAAGTTGAACATTGCTTTTGATAAAAAGCATGTACATGAATTCTGTGAGTCTACTAGTTATTTCGAGTTCCGGGATAAGTCATTGCCAGACTTCATGGACGTTAATCCTTAATAAATTTTTTTACAAAACGCATGAATTCCTCAAAGTATACGTACAAAAATTTCTACCGGAAATTGAATAAAGCCCTCTTTCGTCATACAGTACTTGTGTTTTTTCTCTTAAAAAAGTTCTGACTGTGCCCAATAATGATAACAACTGAGGGGTGGCTTTTTAGATTTTTGCGTTCGTCGGCCTGTTTTCAAGTTCGTTTATCTGGAACGACAGTAACGTATACATTCAGTTGGGATACAAAGGCTATGGATGGCAAACACTAATCATTGTTTGCTTGTTACTCATATGGATAACCAATATGATCAGCTTATTGATGCAAATAAGCGGCACCAATTTGTTCCTGGAGTACGGCAAATTCAAGGTCATTTTTATTCGACTTCTATGTCCAATAGTCGAGTTGGGATTGACAATGTTTCGTTCTAAATAGACTCGATGATTGCTGGGGTAGAGGCGTTTAAAGAAGTGGTGACTGTTTTTGAAAATTTAAACAGGATATTTAAATTTTCGGCTGTTACAAAGAAAAGTAATAAGTATGGGCATTATGTATGTTTGTAAATTGTAGCTCATAGACGAAAGTGAAATTTAATCTGAAAGCAGCTGGATCATTAGATAAGTCATCCTTCAAAATTAAAGAGAACACTCTTCGAAATTACTTCTTTGAAACTGATAATATTGTTTTAGATAATGCTTACTTATGCAATATGTGGACTGTTGGCAGTGATTGCTGCAGGTCTGCAGACGTGGAACGGCAAGTTAGCACATGGCGTGGATGACACAGTCCTGTATCCGAGATTTATCACCACTGCTGTATGTTATTAAGCAACAGTTTTAATAGTATTAATACGAAAAACTGCACTGTCGGCATTATGCACATTCTAAGAAAATATTCTGCTGAATTTTAGTCCAGGGTTATTGAAAAAATGATAGTAATTAATAATAATAACAATGATGATAATAACAATAAAAATAAAAGTGTGATAGTAGTAATGGAAACAGTAACAATAGCAACATTACTATCAATATGCACTGACAATAATAATAGTAATATCAGGAAGCGTTGGCGCCTTACTGATTACCAACAATTAGCGCCAGTTCAGTGCTTAGAGAAATCATGCTTTGCTAACTTCTCTGACGGTAAAAAAATATTGCAGGTGTTCTGTTGGCTTCTCGTTGTGTCGCATATTCTAATGACTGTGGTCGTCATATTCATATGAAATGTTCATATCAGATTTTCTCGACGTAATGAAATTTTGTGCCAGTTTTCGGGGTAAACAATAATAATTGCCGAGATCTGATGTTTTTTCGCCCGTCAAAATAAAGTTAAAACCTCTCTCCGTATTCGCTACCTATGAGGAGGGGAGGTATGTGATGATAACTCGATTAGTAAAGCAATCACTCGTTGGCAAGGGTGTCGATGATTCTATTTCTCGCAGTCTGTTTACAAGCAAGCTAATAACCCGTTTACACATTCCACTATCAATTTACCATCAAAACGAATGTAGTGGACAGGCCTGACAACTTGGATGCTACAATCTGCTTGATAAGGCACAATCGATTCCCGCAACGATGAACTTTCCCGCAACGCCCCGCAACTCCCACTGCTTTAATGGCCT